ATACAACTTAAAAAGGGTGTTGAAATGGACAAAACTTTATGCCATGTCATATTCTTGCGAATCAAACACTCCAAAATGCCCCTCAAATGGGTCCCACATTGCACTGAAAAGATTAAATAAAGGGATAATATATCTATAAACCTTAGAATGCTTTCTCATCTCCACTCCACCTGTAACATCGATCTTAAACCCATATCTTTTTCTTCTCTTTTCTTAATGGAACCTTAGGAGATCTAAATGGAGGGAATTCAAGATGAGATTTGCTTGAGCCGGGTTGCCTCTATTGCTGTTGGGGATGAATCTTTACAACATGCCTATGATTGTGGTTTGAAATAAAAAAAGAAATAAAAAATAATAAAGTTATGTTATTGTCTCATCTCCTTCTCAATCCATCTTCTTCCTCGCTTTGCTCTACTTGAGATTGAACCCAGTGGAATTTGGGTTCTATGTCGTTGAACCCAGTTGCCAGATTTCGTTGAACCCACTTGCTGGGTTTGATGAACCCACTTGCTGGGTTTGATGAACCCAGTAGATACCATCAAATCAAATTAACCCCTCAATAAACAATGCCAATCAAACTTTAATCAAATTCCAAGAAAAATGTAATCAAATTGTGAATCAACTCCTAAATTTATCAAGAACTGAGAATGGAAATCAAAAGAAGAATGAAAAAACATGGTGAACTTGACAAACCCAGCTCTAAAGAAGAATGGAAATGAACATAACCTAGCATGGAACCTAAATTGGCTGGGTTTTGTTCCACCGACCTAGATGTAGGAAAGAAAGAAAGAGAAAGAAAGAAGGGGAAGAAGATGGATCGTGACGGTGAGGGTAATAATGTAATTTTATTTTTTTATTTCTTTTTATTAAAATATAAATATTCATTTGATTTTGCATTTTTATTTGTCTATGTAACATAATTATAAGATATGTTATTGCCATATTATCAAAAAAATTAAAAGAAAATATCACATGAAATTATTTAACAGCAACATCATACTTAACTAACGAAGGGATCAAAATTATGTAATTTTTTAAGTTGAGGGATTAAAAAAATATAAAAAATAATCAAAGAATCAAAAAAATATAATACTATAAAATTGAAAAACGAAAATTAACATTTAACCTAACACGTTATAGAACCTAATCGAAGATCTTCCATCGGCCCCGACCTAAACCCTGTGCTTATGTTTTATTTGACACGTCACACGTATGAGAAGAAGCACATGGCTCCCATTTGAAAATCCCGTTTAGCAGTTGCCGGTTACGGCTCCCAATCCCAACGCTGACACACCCATCCTTCCCCGTTGCCGTCCCTTCCAAAAACTCAAATACGCGCTTCCTTTTCCTTCCCTTCTCAATTCCTTCTCCACTGTTCCAAATTTTAACTAATTTATTTAAAATTCAACATACTAAAAAAATGGAATGTGATTCCAATTTTTCTATCCCACAAACCAGGAATCAGCACTTTATTCCAAGAATTCGTTTTTATTTCCGATAATATTTGCCTTTTCCAATGCCACACAAAAAACGCAATCTGGGATTCCCATTTCCTGCGTCTCCGTTTTTGTGGACTTTGAATTTTGGATTTCATGAGTTGGTGATCGTCTTCACTTATCCAATTGAAGAATGATACTGTTTTTGAGCCTTCTCCTTGCTGGGTTTCTTCTTGGGGTACTGGCAATTCTGGCTCTGGAAGCTGCTGGGGTGCTGTACGTCTTAAATCGTTTGACTCAGAAGACCAAACAAGTATCCTTATCTCAAGGGTCTGAGAAAGTAGGGTGCAGGGACGTTGATCCCCAACAGTCTCTCGATTTCACCCTCAACAAGCAGGTACGTTCGTCTATGTCTGTGTTCTGTTTATTGAAATGCTGGGTTCTGTATTTGCGGTTGATCAGATTATTCCAAATGAAACCTTGCATGTATAAGATAGAAGAGTAAACAACTCACTAGCTCAGGTTTTAAGTCTCCCCAACAAAACCCAGGTTTTTGGTTTTTGACGTTGTTATAGTTCAAAGCAAACCAAGTAGGAAATTGGTTTCTAACTCTAGTGCACAATGTTTTAGTGTTGGAGCATTCTGTGATGGATATTCTCTAAGGTTCAAAGAAAATGTAGAAAAATTGGGTATGCCAGCTTTGGGTACAGAAATATAAACTAAACAAGTTGTCTGTTCTGTTCCCATTTGCAGTTGGGATTCATAACTTAATTATAAGGAGGGTTTGGAAGTCAATTTTGATAATACAAACAGCAAAACACAGATCATTTGCCTATTTCCATTTTGTGGTCCAAACCTAGTTATAATGTCATATTTTCCATCCATACTACTACATGTCCTGATCACCCCTTGCAGATATATTCTGCTCTCTCACCAATCACTGAAGGAACACATTAGTGGTTATAGTGAATCTTGATTGATCACTTTGGTAATCATTTGAGTTACTTGTTGGGATTGAACCATAGGGTCCTTTAGTATAGAGGGCCGCATTTGGAAGTTTGGCTTTATGGTTTTTCTTTGGGAAATCTAGTTCAGTTGGGGTTGGATGTGTTTCTAGAGAACATGGGGTTTTATTTGGGTAGAAAACTTACTGCACCTCAGGTTATGTGTTTCTTATGTTATAAGTTTCAATCTGTTCCTTATTTGCTAGCTCTTCATATGATTTCAGGGGATTGTTTGGATTCTAGAACCAGACAAAGTTCCAAAAAATTGGCCAGCAGAAAAAGTCCCTAGAGAGCAAAAGAGAAAAAGAGATCTCTTTGAGGTCTCTCCAGTGCAGAAATATGCCAAAGTCAAGGATCAGAAACTAATCTTGAAAGATCTTGATGGAACGAAAACAACAACCATTCAGCTGAAAGGCTGTGTAATTGAGTCTGTTTCTGCGTCAAACTTATCGTCAAGAAAATGGTAATGTTGCTTTTTGCAGAAACTATTTGATACAGATTAGTTTCTTAATCAACTTTCACCATTGATTCTCATTGACTATCAATGTTTCTAAGAAAATGGTAATGTTGCCTTTTCCAGAATCTATTTGATACAGTTTAGTTGCTGCCTATTTGCTTAGTTGTTCTATTGGGCTTACAAGAGGTAATGGCAATATTAGACATCATTTAAGTTTGGGATTTTTGTGGCCTTGTATTTATGTTTGGCCTCTTCACCTGTCAGCAATTGGTTTTAGGTTGAATGCCTTGAGACCTTTTTATCACAATGGCATTGATTTTTAGTCCTAGCAACATGGTGTTGGCCCCATGGGGGTCATGGTCTTGTGCTAGTTACTAATATAGACTCCAATAATTTTTAATTATTTTTTCTCTTCTTAGTTTTCTCTGAAAAAATTTATATTGTTTCTGCTTTATCATTATTTTTTTAATGGAATGATATTGCTTATTCTTTTGCATTTAACTGTATGCTTGACAGGGCCAAGAGATTTCCCATAAAAGTGGAGAGCAAGGCTTCACCGATATACAGTGGAAGTAAAATCTTACATCTTTATATTGAGACTTCATGGGAGAAGGAATCATGGTGTAAAGCTCTTCGTCTTGCTTCATGTGAAGACAAAGAAAAGCTTCACTGGTTCATGAAGTTGAATGAAGAGTTCCACAGTTATCTGGCGTCTTTAAATGCTGGATATCCTTCATTTATGAAGCCCTCCCTTGGATTTAGTCCTGAGCAAATAGATAAGGGAAACAGGTTTGATGGATCTCCATCAAAGGTTCGGTTCTTTTGGAAAAGGCTTTCCAGAAAGTCTTCTGCAAAGTCTTCTGTAGAAAGTAAAGGTACTTGGACAAATCCATCCATCTGTGAAGAGAGGAAAACTTCTGAGAAACTGCATTCATCTCAAGATTCAGTGATGAACAGCGTGTCTAATAGTTCTGCAGAAGAAAATACAATATTTCCATCTACATCAAGCTGTTCTCATACAGGAAGTCAAAATTATACATTTGTTGCTTCTGATGCAGAGTCTGAGGACAGGTTTAGCCTTGACGAAGGAACACTCTGCTGCAATTTGTTAATTTCTCGGCTATTCTTTGATGCCAAGAGCAATACAGGATTGAAAACTGCAATTCAAGCTCGGGTTCAGGTTGTTTATAAAATGATGTGTGATCTTGTTCTTTGTACTCTTGTTTGCATGAGTACATAATAGGTGCAGAACTATGGCTGTTAGGCAACTCTGGATAGCACTGCCTCATTCTTTTCTCGTTGATAGTAACTACCTGACCCTTAATGGGAAAGTCCATATAATTTATCCACTCACTGAGGGGTTAAGTGTTGCAGATCCATCATTTGTCTTTCTTTTTTCTTTTCTCTTTTTTGTTTGTTGCAAATTGGTCATTCAGCTATTTGGTTATATTTGAATGGTGGAGGATGAGGTAACAAATCAAACTTGTTTGTGGTGGGTACATTTACATGTTAGTAAAAATATATGAGATGTTTTAAGAGGACTTTGGCGTTTTTGCTAGTTTCATCAGAGTGTGTGACATCTTGTCCTACTTCAGACAGTAATGCCAAAATTATCCTGCATTATTGCATGTGATCAGGTCTTCTAAAATAATGTGTATCTCTGTTTCCTTACATATCTAAATTTGGAGATATCTGATTACTTGTGATCATTGTAACAGAGGACATTGTCCAATACGAGGACACCTACATACATTGGTGATGTCATCTGTACTGGCATAGATGTAGGAAATCTTCCACCTTATATCCATGGAATGAAACTTCTTCCTATCCACACGAATGAGGTATGGGCTTTTGAAGTAGATATTGAATATTCTGGTGGGGCTATATTAGATGTTGAAACAAGACTTGAAGTCCTTGAACCAGATCTTCAAAAGGGTATGGTAGACAAAAAATCAGAACAGAATTCAGCTGGAAATCTATCTCCAGAACTACTTGAAGGCTTTGAGCATTTAGGAAAGCATTTGAATCTTTCTGAAGGGACTCTTGATGTGCATGAGCAAACAAATGGAGTGGAGCATAAAGTTGGTTAGTATAAAAACCTTATAATTTTAGTGTGGTTGGCAATTGTTCTTGTTTCTGGTGCGGCTCTTCTATCGTTCACCATTCTTATCGTTACTTTCAATTCTGTTTTTGCCTTTTTATCTTTTTATCTTTTTTTTTTTTCTTGTCATTATCATATCTTTTGCAGTAGTGTTAGTGTATAATGTCGTGGATTGTTGAGATTAGACACATTCTTATCTTCTGTTTCAAATCCTCTCCTTTCTATATTTTGACGTAATTTACCACATCCAAGTCTGGATATATTCCCTGCTTGTGTGATGTTTGCATTTTTTTTCCTGATCTGGCTTGTGACAACCAATGCCCTTTTATCCTGATTTGTTTTCTCCCTGGCTTCTAGGTTGTGCAAAAAACTTTAAAGCGACAATGCCAATGACAAATTATATGTCCCGGTGGAAGTCTATGCTAAATTCCATAGCTAAACAAGTTTCACAGGTTTGTATATATCTTTTGGTTACATAGGTGTTTCTACTTTCAAGATTCATGTTCATACATTCATATAACTGCTATGTCCTTTTTTTTTATCATAATGAAGGTATTGGCTTGTAATTTATGATAAAGCATTTCAATTTTTTTTCTCTAGGCTGAACTCTTTCTATAACCAAAAATGAAAATTATGGTTTAAAGGCTTGTCAATTCAGAAGGGTGTTTATTGAGGGTGTTTGGCAAAGCTTAAATTCTTCTCTCACAAATTTGAAATTTTGTTGGAGGGAAATTCAAAAATTGGCGTTTTAAGTGGGTTTTAAGCAAGTTTTGAAAAATCTAGACATCCAAGCTTTTGTTGCATGATGATGTGTAGATTACTTGAAATTTTGTTATCCTTTGCTTGATTTTTATATATGGGGACATGGAGCTCCAATTTTACTTGACAATTGAATGAAGATAAAGGCCAATTGTTCTTTGTTTGATTAACATGGTAATTAGGAAACAATAGAAGGGGTTTTTCAGGCTGATGAGAAAAAGACCTCAAGATGGTTCCTTTGTTGCATGATGGTGTGTAGATGACTTGTTAAAGAAGTCATTTGTCCTGTTATCCTGAGAAAAGTTGATAGAGGCTGAAAAAAAGTTACATTCATTTTGATTGTGAAAAATAAAGTTGATTTTGAAGTATCTTATGTTGAGTTATGACATTTTGGTGGCTGAAATTTATTTGTGGTTCTTTTGATTATATGTTATCTTAGATTATTGTGTTCAAGATTAACATAATTGTGGTTGTAGTCCTAATAATGAAGGATTTCATTATGTCTTATAAAGAGGTTTCCATAAAAAGCCATTTCTAGCTCTTCATTAGCCATGAACTGTTGTTTGTTTAAAAGAAATTGTTTCTATTCCTAAGAATTTTCTGACTTGAAACTGTTCACGCCTTTTCATGAATCATTTTTAGTAACTTCATTCCTAACTGAAGTTGTAGACCTGTTATACTATGGGTTTCCTTTCACTTTGTCTTATCTCTCTCTGACATTTTTGGCAGGCATGCATGTATTAGTCTATGTATGCTGGTTTCATGATCAATATACTAGTATAATAGTATTGTAATTTCTCTTTTATCCCTGCTGATTAGCTTGTGATGTTGAATTTTGTGAATACTTTATATCTTTTTCCTCACTTGATCTAACTTAAATTTCAGTTTAAAGTAACTTAAGGCATCTTCTTTCTTAACATTTAAAAATACATCTTCTTGTTTGTTTTTCTTTTTGTGAGTAAAACTACTTTCTGAAGCTATGTTTTTTTTCCCTGGACATAATGAATCTTTGGAAATGCTTTTAGTATTTTCTGCAAAATAAGATATAATCTAGTGTGAATTTTGGCTAATATACTGTTAAGTTGACATCATTAAGAATACATTTTCACATGTTCTTTCCTTGGTCATCTTGCCCTATGAAGAGAGCTTTTTATTTTCTCATATTCTTTCCGACCTTGATAAATCTATGCATCAAATCGACTCATAGTTTTCAAATGATAAACAAATTTATGTTGACGAGTCTGAAAATGTTAGAATGCAAACTAATCAACATTTTGAATTGAAGGTTCCTCTCTCTTTATCAATAAGGGTTGCATCCCTTCGTGGAACTCTGCGGTTATATATAAAACCACCTCCTTCTGATCAGTTATGGTTTGGCTTCACGTCCATGCCTGATATAGAGTTCGATCTAGAGTCATCTGTTGGGGAACACAAGATTACTAGTGGACATATTGCTTTATTCTTTATAAGTCGGTTCAAGGTATGGAGATCACTTGTCACATGGTGCAACACTATATTAGTTTTGACATTGCTTAACAAATTTTCCATTTATTCAAGAGAATATGGTCTTCGATCAGACAAGAAAAGTCTCAACTAGTTGGTTGCTAATTCTTACTTGAGTTCAGCTTAGCTTTATTGATCAGTAAGGGTTTGTTTTGTGAGTGAATTTTATATGAACAACTCTATTTATATTAATAAACCAAGGGATTTGTTGCAGACATTTCTTCCCTCACAAGTGAAAGGAAATTTCAAAAGAACTTGAATAAAGCGAGTTCATTTTTTCTACTTAACAGACTCACCTGACTGCCTATTATTGTGAAAAATTGCTTGGTTTTGTATGATCCTACTTGCATTGATGCAGGCAGCCATTCGTGAAACTATGGTGCTTCCGAACTGTGAAAGTGTTTCTCTTCCTTGGATGTTTGCAGAGAAGGATGACTGGGTCACAAGGAGAATTGCTCCATTTATATGGCATAATCAAGAAGCAGTTAGTGATCATACCAGCTCGTCTGAAGCTTTCAGCTCCCAACTTCTTGAAGCAAAATCCAGTGAAACCAGTAAGGTGTCTGCACGTGATTATCCTGAAAGCAAGCATCAGTTGCCAAAGAAGGCTGAAAACTTTAAGCAATCAACTGGTGATGCGTCCAAGCATCAATTGCCAAAGAAGGCTGCTAGCTTTAGTCAGCCAACTGGTGACACCATGCCCTCAAGTTCCACAGTTACATCTATAAGGTGCAGCAAGTCCTTTCAAGAACTAAGAACTCATCTATTAGCAAGCAATGAAATGCGTGAAGCACACAACAAAAACATAGAAGAAACTCCAGCTTCTCAGTCACCATACAGGTCGTCTTCAATACAGCTTGGAAAACAGAATTCTACAATTGAAGATAGTGATTTAAGACCAAAGAAAATGGGGAGAAGGGCCAGGATGCTTGATTTGGGGAGGAAGATGGGGGAGAAACTTGAGGAGAAGAGACGTCATATAGAAGAGAAGAGCAGGCATATTGTTGAGAAGATGAGAGGGCATGAGATAAACTGAAACTTTTGAGTTGACTTGGGAACTCACAATCAGCTATAATAGGCAACAAATCCCTTGAGAAGACAGGCATTCATTTCTGGCATGGGAAACAAGGATTCAGAACAATTGACTTGGATCCCAAATGGAGGTTTACGGTTGAGCTGATAATTAAATAGAAGCTTTATTTTATTTTATTTTATTGTTGGGATATCATGCCAGACTTCTATTCCTGATTATAGGAGAGATGTAAATAGCTCCTTATTTATCTGCTCATCATTGTTCCATTTATTAGCTCCGAGAGGGCTTCTAAGTGAACCGTACTTTGAAGGGAAATGATTCATTTACAAATCTTATCTTACAATAACTATACGATGGTTTGCCCGGATCCGACGGCCGCATCAGGCATAATTAAGTACATTTAAATTCGTTTTCTAGTACTATAATCATGATCTGAATGTAGGGACAAGATGGGAAATAACGGAAATCATGGGGGTGTTCTATAAAAAAGAAAAAAAGCTATTTTTTTTTTAAAAAAATGAAAGGTTAAATACCCAATTTGGTCCCTCAACTTTTATTTTTGGACTAAGTTCATCCTTTAACTTTAAAAATGACCCAAATCATCCTTAAAGTTTATTTTCTTGTAACCAAATTGATTCTTCTGTCGATGAATGTGTCCACCTGGCACATTAAGTTTCCATGATTTAACTCTTTTAACTTTCAAAAGTTACATGGAAAAACACCACACTTAATTGATGAAATGGCAATAATTGTGTTCCAAGTTTGATTCTTACCTCTTCATCCTTCTCTAATTGTGGGCCCACATGTCAATGTCTTTGTCTTCCGTTGCAAATTCCTCTTCTTCCAAAATCTATTACACTCTTTCTCTTTCCTTTTCCCCTTGAACCTTAAATCCTTTGCATCTTTGATTCCTTCTTCTTTATTTATTTGTCTTTTAGATTTTGGGTTTGTGAGAATCATAGCATCGAAGGTTCTTCATGGAGTCTGGGTTCATCAATTGAACCTATTGTGAGTGGAAGCATGGCAGAATCTACAAAATAAGAAGTGTAGAGTATAGATGCAACTGTATTGCATGTTATTATTTGGATGTCATTCACTTTCCAAAATATGCGTAAGAGGTTCTGATGTTGTCCTAAGAAGAAGGTAATCACACAATCTCTCTCTCTCTCTCTCTTTCTAGGTTTTAGGTTTTTCTCAATTGGTTATTTGGCTTACAAGATATTTATGTAGGATCTATGTAATTACTTCCATTTCCTAGATGGTGAGGAAAGGATCAAGGGTAGAGCAATGGAGTTATTGTTGATTTTGAAAGATAAAGAATCTAAAGTTACTAAAGAGAAAGAGAAAATAATGAAAGAAAAATGGAAATTGTTGCAAGAAAATGTGCAATTGAAGGAACATAGTGGATTAATGGATAGAAAGGTAAGACTTTTGGAGAAGAAGGTGAAAAAGGTGGAGAAGAGATGCTTAGAAGCTGTGATGATTAGTCAAGTCATTTGTTTCATTTTTTTAATTCTCATTGCTTTGATTTCTAGTGTATTTTTACTTAAAATCACCAGATATTAGGCATGTGGCTCCAGGTTTTAGTTTGGTTTTTGTAATTTAATGTAAGAGATACAATGCATGGATATATGTACTTTTGCTATTTTATTTAGTGAAATTCCTCCACTTTTGTTAGTTAGCCTATCTTTGTCTTACATTGATATAACATATGCTACAAACTTGATAATAAAATTTTGCATGGCCATTCACATTACCACTTAAGCATGACATATGCAAAAGGTAACTTGCCAAAAAAGTTGGCATATATCCAGCACATATACAAAATCTAGTCAACCAATTAACACTTCAACTCACCCTAAGCAAACTTAAACACATAACATAAACTAAGCAACATGTGTCCATAAGTTGCAACAAAACCATGTTTACAAACATGTTTACTAAGTAAAAAACAAATAGCCATAAAAAAAAATGCAAAATTTGGTTCATCAACATAAGCAGACTCATTTTGCTAGATTTGAACTAGTATAGCCTCCTCCTTCTCCTAGTTAACTAGTTATTTTTTGAAAACAATTCATCTCACCCCCAAGTGTTTCTTCATTATTCTTCTTCACCATTTGCCTTACTTTGCTGCCTCTACTTTGCTTGTGCTTGCAGTTGCCTTGCAATAACAAATTGGCAACCAATCCCAACTCCATTGCTTGGTTTCTTTTGCTTGTCTTTGGCTTGATTTATGGTGTCATTAAGCTATCTTTTTGGTTTCTCAATGACATTTGCTGCACCTAAACCAATTGTTGAACTCTTATATCCTTGCAACTAATATACATTTGTAAAACAATTTTGCTCTCAAGAAAAACAACAAAAATAAAGAGCAGAACAATTGAACTATTTCATTGAAGTTTGAAATATGTACAAGTTTGGTATAATAGACAAAAAACAAAAAGTAGCAACTATGTGAACAAAACAGCTTTTACTAAACTTTTACTACCTTATGTAAAGGCATTAATCAAGAGCAACTAAGCATAAAGACAAACTAGAATTAAAATGCAACAAAAAAACTTGGAATAAATTGAACTAAATTAAGGAAGTGGGTAGATCTATGGTGATTAGATTTGGGCATGAGAGTCTGATAGGGTGAGATTTGAGTGGTGAGGCTGGGCTGAAGCTGAGAAGGAGAGATGAGAAAGGGAAGACACAATGGGGACGGCCAATGTGTCACAGTTGAAGAAAGATTGGAAATGGAAGATCATGGGTTCAGTTTAGTGGCCAATGAGAGGCGGGCTTAGAGTGCCACCAACAGAAGAGGGAGGCAGAGGAAAGGGTTAAAGGACAGGAGAAGAAGGGAAGAGAATCCATTTGGCTTGC